TGGATAATATGAATAATTATTTTTTTTCATCGTTGATATAACTTATCTAGAAAACTAAAAGTCAATGTAATAAATAATCTAAAACATTTGACAAAAAGAAAAAGTGAGAAGCATTTATATATTTCTTTAGTAGGATACTTCTCTTATTATTATTCTTATTTTTTATGCATACAAAAAAATCACCCATTTATCAAAAAAAAAGGAAGAGAATGAAAACGATGCGCCTTCAGTCACACTATTTTAACGCGAAAGATTTTACACTAGTATTTTTCTTTGATAATCGAACACGTTTTGATATCAACAAATATAGTATGGTAATGAAAAAAAAATATGTTAACCGTTGCTTACAGTAGAAGAAAAAGAAAAAAAATCAATGATCACAAACGATGTATAGTTTTGCACTTTAATAAATAGAGCTTGCAAAGACATAGAAATCGTCTTCTAGAATTTTTAGTTAAAAAATAATATTCAAAGGGAGACTACATTGTCATTGCGTTTGATATTTTATTTTCTCTTCGATTAAAATTTTACAATCATCTCTCCGCGAAAACTTTCATTCTGTTCCTTTGTATTTCTCCGAAAGGAAACAATGCCAGGTTGACTCGATTATATGATACAAATATTCTAAAGTCAGTGACTGATTTTATACGTAGTATTGGTATAGTTGAAGAATATTTTTCAGAGAGAAAAAGTAGTAAATACTATTCTTAAACTATTTTTCAATCAAAAATTTGAATTGTAATGCTATATATTTAGGTCACGAACAGAAATGTTTAATGATCGACATAAAAGATTATCGTTTTCTAGATACACAAACATTTTGTATCATCAAATTCTGTATTTAATCCATAAGAGATAACTTTCGAATCAAAACCACTTTCGATCACTATGATCCATTTCAAGATTTGAGATGGGCTTTTAACACAGAATTCGTCATAACGTGGATCAGGATGACAGAAATAACTTGTATCATGTGTAGACCACCAATCATTTTTGCCACGATATAAATGTCTTTCTTCTGGATTTAATTTCAGTACGTATAAAAGCACCATGACGATTCGCTTATCCTCCTGTTCCTTCTCTTGATTGAGCAATTAGCATAGCTAACTTCGGATCAGTTTGATGAAATCCAATATAAAGATTTTTTCCAGGCATTGT